TGTCTCCGGCCAGGACTGGGGGTGCAGGGGGGGTGTGCGCGGAGCCTCTCTGGCCGCCCCTCCCGCGGCGGGTCCCCGCCCCGTCCCCGCGCGAGGCCTTCGGAAGCTCGGGACGCCCCGGCCCCCGCCAGCCCTGGAGGAGCCCGCCCCCTGGAGGAGGGCGCGGCGCGTGCAGGCTCCGCGCCCGGGCCCCGCGCCCGCCCGCCGGGCCGAGCCCGCAGGTGAGGCCCGCCCGTCCTCCGCCGCCAACGCAGGACACGGCTGGGGGGGGGACACTGGGGAGGGGACCCGTGGGGCGGGGCCCAGTATCCCGAGGGCGGGGCCAGCGCTGGACTGGGTGACCACGTCCACGACCTCGTCATCACGGGCGGGGGTGGGGCCCCGCACCCGGACCCGGAGGGACGGAGTTGCGCTGGGGCCAGGCCCGGCTCCGGAAGTGTCCGAAGCTTGTCCCGACACCGCGGGTCCGAGCTTTCGGGGGGTACCCGAGGCGTCCCCACCCCCCGCCCCAGAGCAGGCCGAGCCGCGGTCCGACTGGGCTCTGCCGGCCGCCGTCCACCGCCGCGGAAGCCCCCAGCGCCCACCCGCTCCCTCCGGCCCCGGGGTCCCTCCGGCCGAGCCCACCCTCACCCCCCGCGGGGTGCGGCCCCGGCTCGCCGCGGGGATCGATCGGCGGGCGCCCGCTCCCGCCCCCTCCCCCGCCCGGGCCGCGCAGGACGCGGCCTCCGAGCGAGCGGCGTCCTCGCGGTTCCGGGCCGCGCGGCCAGACCGGGCTCCGGGCCAGCCGGGGGAGGCGGGGACGCGCCGGGCCCTTCCGATCGGGCCCGCCCCTCTGTCCGGGGTTGGGGGAAGCCGAGCCCCGCGCGCGCGAGCCCAGCTCCCCGGCCCGCCGCGCCGGGCGCCCCCTCTCCCCGCGCGCCCCGCGCGCCAGATGCCCCCCTCGGGCGCGCGCTTAACCCTCGGCGCGCCGCGGAGTCGGGGCGCGGGCGGTGGGGGCGGGGTGGCGGCGAAGCCTCGGCGGCCGACCACTTCGGGGTCCGCCGAGCGATTTTCATTTCATTCTCGGCCTGGCTGCAGCCGCCGGCTGCTGCGGGGTGGGTGGGAAACGGAGGAATCCGCCTGTGTGTGGGCCCCGCTGCGTTTGGGCGCGCTACGGGGGGCACCCGCGAGCCGAGCGCCGGGGCGGGCGTGGAGGGGCGCACCTCCGGGGCGGCGGGCCCCCGCGGCCGGGCCTCGGGCAAAGGAAACCCGGACAAAATCCACACCGCCCGCCGCGGCCGTTGTGAGCGCGTGGCGGCGGCGGGCGGAGGAAGCGGCTCCGAAGATCACGTTTGAAAGATAGTCCCGGAGGCGCCGATCTCCAGGCCGACCGAGCCTCGCGGCCCAGCGCCGGGGGCCGGGGACCGAGGCTTCTCCCGGCCGGCGGGGGCGGCGGCAGCGGGGGGCGGGCCAGCCCGCGTCCCCCGGGCCCTGCGACCCCGGCGTGCCGCAATGCGGAGGCGCAGCCCCGCAGCCGCCCGTGTGGCCCCCGGGGGTGGCCCAGGCCCTGCCAGGGGGCCACGGCCTCGCGCGGCGCCCGAGGGGGTTCCCCGTGTGCTCAGCTTCGCGCCCCGCCAGGCCCGCCCGCCGGGACCCGGAGCCTCGGCCCCGCGCCGCCCTGTGGGTGGGATCTGGGGGCGTCTGGGGCCTCGCCGCGTGCAGAAAAGCCGACCCTTGGCGGAGCGCTGGGACAAAGAGCAGAAACGGGGGGTGGGAACGCGGCGGTGGAGGGGCGCCCTGCGAAACAAAGCCCTTCCGAGAGGGGGACCCCGGGGGGGTGCGGCGCGGCTCCTGCACACCCTCCCCGGGGCCCGCGTCGAAGCCAGCGACGCCTTCCGGCTAAGGACCAGGGAGCGCAGGGGGGCTCCCCAGAGCCGGCAGACCCGTGGTCATTCCTGGAAAAGTCCCTCTCGGCTGTGTGGAAGCCGCCGGGGGGCCGCTGGTGCGGGAAGGCCCGGGGCTGGGCTCCGCGGGCAGCGACGGCGGTGCCGCCCGCGCCCATTCTCGGAGAAGGCGCCTTTAAGAAATCGTTGGTTCCCCCTCGTTCCCGGACCCGACTCCCAGAAACCAACCACCCTCCTCCAGCCCTCCGCTGTCAGAAAGTTCCGGACTTCTTCGGGGTCCGCCCCAGCCGCCTCCCCTCCACACCCGAGCCCGGGGCCGGGCTGGGCGCGCGCGGACGACGTGCCACTCCCGGGGCCTCTCCAGGCCCCCGGGGGGGGCCCCGGGCCCCGGCGGCGTTCGGAGAGCTGCCGTCCGGCCCGCGGGGCCCAGGTGCCCACTCCGTCCGGGACACAGCCGCTCTCGGCGGGGTTCCCCACGGGGCTCTGGGGTCCGGGGCCCCAACGCCAGGTTCCAGGGATCCCGGGTTTGAAGACAGTGTCCCCCAGAGCCCTTCGCAGGGGCGAAGACTAGGGGTTCGGGATGGCCGGGGAGGGGGGACGAGGGGTCGGCAAGGCTGTCTGGGGCGAGGCGCCCACTACCCCGGCCCCGCTTCCGCCTCGCCCCCTCGCGGGAGTTCGCGCCCCTGCCCCTGCCCTGCGAACGCCCGGGGACGTGGGTCGAGGTGGGCACCCGAGGGGCGGAGATTACCGCCTGCCCGCCCTCCGGAGGCCCCGACGACCCCGCAGCCCGTGCGTCCGTCCTCAGCTGGGGCGCCGCGGGCTTGGGGTGGCTAGCGGCTCCCCGGCTTCGAGGGGCTTCGAGGGCCGCCCCCAACCTCCCCCCCGCGTCCAGGAAGCCCGGGGGTCACTCGCCACGCGGCTCCAGAGAGCACGCAGCGTTCGGGCGGGCGCGAGCCCCGCGGCTCTGATCCTGTCGCCCCCCCCAGGGTCCCCGAGCCCCGCCAGGCCGGCGGCGGCCCTGCGACCCGGGCCGGCGGGGAAGCCGAGCCGCACGCGGCGGAAACACCCCGAGCACGCGGCTTTTCCAGGGGATTTTCAGTCGCAGGGACCTGCAGGGTGTCGGGAAGTGGAGGCTGCTCCTGGGCCTGGGGTCCCCGCGGACCTCGGGTCTGGCGGCGGGGGTGGACCGCGTCAGCCTCCCCCCCCCCCTCCCCCCGCCTCGGGACTGGGCTCCCGCAGCGGCTGGACTGGCCGAGGGACGGTCCATGGGCAGAGGACAAGCGTCGGGGAAAAGCCGCTCAGGAGGCCTCGGACGGGGCTTTTCCTGCCTCCCTCCCCAGGCCTCGCGGGGGCAGGGGGGCAGGACCAGCTCTGGTCCATCTCCTCCTGCGCCCACTTCTTGGGGAGTCCCGGGCCTGCGCCCCAAGCTCCTTTCACCGGGGAGGGGAAGCCCCGCCGGGGCTGCTGGGTGGAGAGGTCAGGGCCGCACCGCGGGGAGGTTTCGCCGCGTGCAGACTCGCCCTGGAGTCCTGGGAGCACTGCACCCCAACGGGCTCCGGGGCTTCGCTGCCGCCTCTCCTCCCCCTGGTGTCCTCTAGCCTGGGCAGGTGCCCCCCGGGATCCCGGGACCCCGAGTGGAAGCAGGGAGGCGGAGACCCCGTCCTTTCCCAGCCCCTCGCCCCACTCGGCCTCCACTGGTTGCCCGTTGTCTTCTCTGCGGACAGTCGGCCAAGGGATTGCGTAATCTGCCGGGGTCCTGCAGGAGCCCCAAGCTGGCGCCCCGGCCACGCTCCGGGCCGGAGCACCCCCGCCCTCCCCACCAGGCCGCCCCGCCCCGGGCCCTGCCCTGCCCGCACCGCGACCCCACGCCGCGCGAGCGCCCGCCGGGGGCGCCCTCGGCAGGCCACGCGGGGCGCAGCAGCTCCCCCAGCCCGGCGCCCGGCGGGCTTCGCACTCGACGGCTCCTGGGGGGCGGAGGCGCCCGCGGGACCCTGGCTTGGCCGTCGCTGACCAGGGGACGCGAGTTCACGCGGACCGTGGGGCTCTGGGCCGCGCCATGGCCTTCCCTGCTCCCTGCCGGCTCTCCTCGGTGGAGCCCCAACCTCTTTTTGGTTGTCTCCCCCCCCTTCCTCGGCTTTTACAAGCTCCCTCCGGCCCGGGGGAGGGCCGGGGCGGACCGGGTCAGCCCGTGCGCCCTCCAGCCCGCGACCACGCCCTCCGGCTCGGCCCCAGCCGCGAGCCGGCCGGGCGGAAGTTCGGACCGGCTGGAGGTCTGGGGTGGGAGCCCCTCTCCGGGGACGCTCTGGGGCGCTAAGGTCCGGGCCGCCTGCAATTCCGCCCGACCTTGGCCTCACGAGCTCCTCCGCGTGGAGTCGGCCGCCGTCCCGCCCTTCCCCGCCGGCCTCGGCGCCCACCGCCCGGCAGGTTCGGGAGTGGGGACGCGAGTCTCCCCCGCCCCGCTCCGGCCCCTGCCGGCGGTGCCCCGGGAGCCGCCCCGACGCCACCAGCGGCGGCCGTCACCGGCCGCGGACGCCCGGGTGGCCCCCCGCAGGGGTCCCCGGGCACCGGGAACGCGGGGTCGGGGCGTGGGAGGGAGCCCCGGCGCCGGGCTGCAGGCGAGGGCGGGCCGCACCGCGCGGGTCTAGGTGTCCACCCCGGACCGCGGGGCGCGCACACCTCTGGGCCGCCGCCCGGTTCTCGCCCTCCTCTCCTCTGCCTGCAGCTCCCTCTCCCGGCTCTCAGATCCCTCCCCTGCACCGCCCGGCGCCCTCCCCCTTCCCGGCCCCCTCCTGCTCCCTCCCCCCGCCCGGGCCCGGGGCCTCCGGTAGGCCCGGCTGCGCCAATCGGAGCGGTGGCCCGCCCCCTGACGCCGCGCTGGGCCCGGCGAGGCCCCGCCCGCTGACGTCCGGGATTTGCATGAGTTCTTGTGCAGCGGCGCCCGGGCTCAGTTGTCTGAGCGAGCGCGAGCGGGGAGCCGGGCGGGCGCGGGCGGCGGCGGCGGCGGCGGCCGGGCGGTGCGGGGCGAGGCGGCGGCGGCGGCGGCGGCGGCGGCGGCGGCGCGGGCATCGCCGGCGGAGGGGGCCCCCGGGCCCGGACAGCAGCTGGGCGCCGGCGGGAGCCGGCCGCGTCCGCAGCCGCGCCGGCCCCCCGCGCCCCGGCGCGCCCGGGTTCGGCCATGGAGCTGCCAGCTGTCGGCGAGCACGTCTTCGCCGTGGAGAGCATCGAGAAGAAGCGGATCCGCAAGGTAGCGCGGCGCGGGGGCGGCGGCGGCGGCGCGGGCGCGGGCGCGGCGGCCCGGGCGGCCCGCGGGCGGCGCGGAGGGGGTGGGGAGGCTGCGGGCCGGAGCCGGGGATCCCGCGGAGGCTGAGCCCGTGCTGTCCCCCCCTCCTCCCCCGCAGGGCAGAGTGGAGTATCTGGTCAAATGGAGAGGCTGGTCTCCCAAGTAAGTGGCGGCCGGGGCCGGGGGAGGGGGGCCGGGGCGGCGCGGGACCCGCCGAGCCGGTGGGGTGGCGGGGAGCGGCCGGGGCGGAGGGAGGAGGAGGGGGTGGGGAGGTCGGTGGCAGGCACTGGGAAGCCGAGCCGCCGCCGCCGCCGAGCCCGAGCCCGGCGCCCTCTGTGGGGCTCGGCTCTCCGGGAAATGCCAGCACTAATTTATGCACTAAAAGGAGCCCGGGGAGCCGGGGAGCCGCGGGGCCGAGCCGGGGAGGCCGGCGGAGGGAGGGCGGGCGCAGGCACTGACTGATGTGCAGAAAATGGCTCCTTTCCCCTTTCCCTCCTCCGAACGGCTCCATATTGCAAAACCAAAAAAAAAAAAGAGGGAGAGGGAGAGAGGGAGACCGGGAGAGACGCGGACGGGGACGGCGGGGACGGCCGCCAGCGTCGGCCTCCGCGGGCGGGGGGCCCGGCCCGGGCCTGTCACCGCGGCGCGGGGCTGGCCAATTTTTTTCTTTAATTCGAAATGCGAAGGCACCGGATGGAGCAGGCGCAGGCACCCGCGCGCACGCACGCACACACGCGCGCACACAGGCACAGTGCTGCGTTGCTGACGATTTGGGGGTGGCCTGCCCGTGACAGCGGTCTCCTAGGCCGCGAGGGGGTGCGGGGGGGGGGCCCCCTCTGAGCTGCCGGTGATCGGATTAGGGGTCAAATGCAGACCGGCTGGAACCTCAGGCCAGACTCGGGTTGGGGAGAAGAGGAGGAAGAGGGGGGGGGGCGGCTGGACCCCACATTTCGGCTGCTTTGCGCGCCGGGTTCCTAGGACGCCGAGTGGCTTAGGAACACGTCGCGGTGACACGCTTAAAAATTCTTGACAACTGCAAAATAAACTGCTAGTTTCATTTTCCTCACCCCTCCCCTTTCTTCCTGCCCGGTGTGTTTATTTTGGCTGGGGCGTGGGGAAGGGGGGGGGGAGACAGGGTAGGAGGACCATGTTAGGCCTGCAGAAATCTAGCCCCCCCCCCCAATCTCCACACCCACAGCTGAAGAGCTTTTTTTTTTTCTGGTTTATGGAGACAGCAGTGCTTATGTCACTCTCCACCTGGAGGCCACAAAGCTGGCTCCTTCTTTTTTTTTTTTTCTTTTTTACACCGTGTCCCCTGCCTTTTCCTTGCAAGATATAACACGTGGGAACCGGAGGAGAATATCCTGGATCCCCGGCTGCTGATTGCCTTCCAGAACAGGTGAGCGTCCCCAAGCTGCGGCTGCCGGTCAGCGCCACCGTATATGGGAATGGGAATGTGGGCGACGCAGAGGGAGCTAAGGGGAGAGAGGGCGGTGGAGGGGGCGGCGAGCCTGGACGCGCAGGGCTGCGGCCTCCGCTGCTCTAACCAACGTCCTTGGCGGTTGCTGCAGTGGAGAGTGGGGGCGGGGCGGGGCTGGGGAAGGCCAGGCTTGTGTTGGGGAGGGTAGGGGTGTGTGGGGGGGACTGCGGGAAGGAAGGGAGCCTGTGGGTGGGCCTGCAGCTTCCCAGAGAGAACCCCTGGCCGCACCTGGTTCCCCGCTGAGGTTTGGGGCCCCGCCCCCAAAGCCTAGGTGTTGCTTTCTGCAACCAGCCACTGGCCAGCTTGGCACTGATGCCTCACAGGGCAGCTCGAAGGAGCTGGCATTGTGAAACGGAACTGAACTTAACCTGTTGGCGGCTGGAGAAAAGTTGGCCGGGCCTCAGGGCCGCACCCTCACCCCTCAGGAAGCTGGGGGTGTCTGGGAGTAGATGCTGACTGAAGTCCATGCTCTCCCACCCCCCCCACACTGGGCTATTTGGTGGGTCAAGAGGCCCCATCAGAGCAGGAGAAACTGGGCCCAAGGCCTTGGGGTGGGCAGTGCCCGGTGTTGGTGGGGTGGACTGGGGGGGGACGAGGGGGGGCTCATCCTGTGCACTGATGCCTGTCACCAGCAGCCACTGCAGCTGGCTTGGCCGCCGATGGCTGTGGTTCTCTGTTTCGGGAGGATGAAGGGGGGAAGGGTGCGGAGGGAGGAGCCGCTGGGGCGCTGGTAGCTCGGCCACCCCATGCCTTGCATCCCTCCTCCCTCTTTTATTTTGCATTATTTCCTGTGGCACTTGTGCCCTAAACGTTCAACTCTCTACCTCCTAGCAAGCATCTGGCTGGAAAGTTGCTCTCCCATGTGTGTGTGTGGGGGGGCGCCCTGCCGGGCAGGAATCCTGCGCCAGCTCCACCTGGGAGTCAGCGGCTGATGCCATGTTGCTTAATGGGTCCCCAAAGAATTAGAACTCAGGCTGTTGCAATGCCATGCAACTTTGGAGTCAGGCTCCTGCCTGGCCCCAGAGTGAGGCAGAACTCCCCTGAGCTGGCCCAGGGGACCGTGGGGTGGGGATGGCGACTCCAAGCCCTGTGACCCGGGCTTGCCCTGCAACTTTGGCTCACTCCAGAGGGGCAGCCCCCTCTCCCATGGCGGGCCAGCCAGGGTCTAGAACCACTGGGCTCTTTGGCTGGCCCCAAGGCAGACACCTAGTAGCTGTCAGTAGTGACTGGTGCCTTCGCCCAGGGGGTGTCTTAATCATTTGGAAATCTGGGCAGTGTCTGTCTGGCCCGGGGGAGGAGGTGGTGCTTCCCTGAGCCTTCCCTGCCCTGCTCACTGGCTGAGTTGGTGTGGTGCCAGGCCAGTTCACCCAGTGGCTGAGAACCGGGCTAGACCCTGGCCTTGCAGCCGGCCTCTGCAGCCGCCCCAGCCCCTAATTGGCTCATTTGCTGCTGTATAAACAAGAACACAGCCCCTCCCCCTGTTTAGGCCTGGCCTGTAAGAAAACCGTCCACCTTTCTGCTGCCTGGGGTTATCTGCGTCTGGACGGGGCCGTTAGCTTCCTGGGCTTCTGACCTGGTGGGTCTAGCTGGATGCACCCCCCCTTGGGCTGCCTATATTCCCTGGACACTCCCCCCCACCATGTCCATTCCATGTTGGCACGGTCACTAGCCCGAGGTTGCAGCCCAGCCCCACACTTCAGGTCCCAAGCACCGGGTGCAGCGCGTCCTGGATCAGAGGAGAGTATCAGGGGTGGAGTAGGTCTGGTGTCAGCACAAAATGGGGTGCTGCTAGGGATTCCCGCAGTGGAGGCAACCTTCAGCCCCCCCAGTGGCGAATCCCTTGGCATCCTGTGGATCTGGGGATGAGCCGGGCTCGGGTCACGGGAGCCGGGCTCGGGTCACGGGAGCCGGGCTCGGGTCACGGAAGCCGGGATGGGAGGCCGTGGGCGCTAACCCGCAGGCCCTCTGTGCCCTCCTCAGAGAAAGGCAGGAGCAGCTGATGGGATATCGGAAGAGAGGGCCCAAGCCCAAGCCGCTGGTGGTGCAGGTGAATGCACGGCTCCTCCCACTCCTGGGCTGCTTGTGGGCGTGGAGGGGGGGGTCCTCTGGGGCACTACAAGTCCCTGTTCCCCAAGGCTTCCCACGCATGCCTCCCATGATGGACCTGGGGGGGGGGCTTGAGACCAGGGGCACTCCCCTGCTCCGGGCATGCCCAGGGCCGACCTCTCCCCTCTCCCTTCCCTCCCCACACATGCCTAGGTACCCACCTTTGCCCGACGGTCCAACGTGCTCACGGGGCTCCAAGACTCCTCGGCTGACAACCGTGCCAAGCTAGAGCTGGGCGGGCAGGGCAAGGGGCACCAGTATGAGCTCAACAGCAAGAAGCACCACCAGTACCAGCCTCACAGCAAGGAGCGGTCGGGCAAGCCCCCGCCGCCCGGCAAGAGCGGCAGCAAGTACTACTACCAGCTGAACAGCAAGAAGCACCACCCCTACCAGCCGGACCCCAAGATGTACGACCTGCAGTACCAGGGAGGCCACAAGGAGGCGCCCAGCCCCACCTGCCCGGACCTGGGCGCCAAGAGCCACCCGCCGGACAAGTGGGCGCACGGCGCGGCGGCCAAGGGCTACCTGGGGGCCGTGAAGCCCCTGTCCGGAGGGGCGGGAGCCGCGGGCAAGGGCTCGGAGAAGGGCCTCCCCAACGGGCTGCCGCCCGCCCCCAAGGAGGCCGTGGCGGGCAACGGGATCGGGGGCAAGATGAAGATCGTGCGGAACAAGAACAAGAACGGGCGCATCGTGATCGTGATGAGCAAGTACATGGAGAACGGCATGCAGGCGGCCAAGATCAAGTCGGGCGAGGAGGGCGAGGCGCGCGCCCCCGGCCACAAGAAGCGCGCCCCCGACGAGCGGCACCCCCCGGCCGACAGGACCTTCAAAAAGGCGCCGGTCGGGGCGGAGGAGAAGAAGGCGGAGGCCCCCGGCAAGAGGCGGGGCGAGGAGGAGGCCGCGGGCCCGGGGGACCCCCCGCCGCCGCCGCCCCCGCCGCCGCCCGCGGACCCCGCCGCCGCCGCCCGCAAGCTCTCCCCGGCCAAGGAGGCCTTCGGCGGCGAGCAGCCCCTGCCGCTCACCACCAAGCCGGACCTGCTGGGCTGGGACCCGGCGGCGCGGGCCGCGCACCCCGCGGCGCACCACCACCACCATCACCACCACCACCACCACCACCACCCCCTGGGGCTCAACCTGGCGCACGCGCGCAAGCGCTGCCTGTCGGAGACGCACGGGGAGCGGGAGCCGGGCAAGAAGCGGCTGACGGCGCGCAGCGTGAGCACGCCCACGGGGCTGGGGGGCGCGGGGCCCGAGCCCGCGCCCGGCGCGCCGCCCGAGGTCATCCTGCTGGACTCGGACCTGGACGAGCCCATAGACTTGCGCTGCGTCAAGACGCGCGGCGAGCCCGCGCCGCCGCCGCCGCCGCCCAGCGCCCCGCAGGTGAAGCCCGAGGCCCCCGCCGCCGCCGCCGCCCCGGCCCCGCCGGCCCCCGCCGCCGAGAAGCCGCCGGCCGAGGCCCAGGACGAGCCCGCCGAGCCGCTGGGCGAGTTCAGGCCCTTCTTCGGGAACATCATCATCACCGACGTCACCGCGAACTGCCTCACCGTCACGTTCAAGGAGTACGTGACGGTGTAGCCGGGGCCGTCCGGGCCTTCGAGGGGGCCTGCGCGCCCCTGCGGCCTCAGGAAGACCCCCGGGCCCCGCCGCGCCTGCCCTCCCCGCGGGGCGCCTGCCCCCACCGGCTCCTGTCCACACGGTGCCTGCGGCCTCCACCATGCGCCCCCCACGACAGCCTGCCCCTCCCCGCGGGCTCCCCCGGACCTGGCCGCCCGGCCCCGGCCCAGAGTTATAGTATTATATTTTAACTGTGCTAACTGTCAAGTGCTGACTACTCCCGTTTGTACGTGGTGTTATTCTTGAAATGTATTGTTTGAGCTCAAAAGGCCCGGACAGCCCCCCCCTTTCCTCCCCCCACCTCTTCGGGCTGAGATTATAAATATATATATATTTATTTGTAGGTATTTATATATTGAAATATAAAAGCCTAGATTTATGGAGTTTCCTCTAGATCATATTATATTCCATATCAGACGAACTATTTTCTGTTGCTCCTCCCTCCCTTCTTCATTCAGTATTTCGGTTGCTTTCATTCCCTCCCCTCCGGGAACTCAAATTCCAGGAACCTTGGTATATTTTTTGATACTGTACACATGGATGTGTTGTTTCTATGTGCAAAAAAAAAAAAAGTTTGTTAAAAGGCTAAACGAACTCTCTAGAACATGCTGCTACTAGAAATGTCTAAACTATAAGCTTCCAATTATTACCTGCTTGAATGTAAATATTAAACAGAGATGTTGAAGGTGCGCGGTCACTGCCTGAGATCTCGGTGGACAGGAGGGGCGCCTGGGGGGGGGGGGCAGGGGGAGAGGGGGCTGGACTCCCTTCTTTTACCTTCGCGCTCACGGGGAGGCCTGCTTCCCACTCCTGCGTGTTGGTGGAGCTCACCACTGGGAAGGGAAGCTCCTGCAGAGCCGGGCATGCCAGAACCACCTCCAGCCCAGGGTATTCTGGAAGTCAGTGCAGACTGGATGGCAACCCCTGGCATGGGGGGGGAGCTCCAAGATGTGGGTCGGGCTAGCCCCCTTTCCATACACCCACCTGCAGCTACTGACCTCTGTCCGGGCGCCAGGCCCTGGAGGAGCTCCAGCAGTTCCTCCTGCTCCCGCCTGTAGGGCAGGGTCCGTGGGGAGGGGACTGCCACCCTCTGCAGAGTCCCTGGCTGGCATCCTCAGCCCCGCCCCACCCCACTGAGGCTCTTTCTCTGCCAGGCTGTCTCCCCGGAAACCACGGGGCCAGAGGCCCCGACTGGCAGCGAAGAGGGGTTGGGGGGGGGGCTCTTCATGTAACTTGGGCGGGGTTGACAACAGATCTGCCGTCCCGTTGACCCTCGATGCCTGTGCCCTCGGAGTGGCAAGGCTGAAGCACTTGGTGTCTCCCAGGAGGGGAGGAAGGGGTTAAAGGCCCTGGGGGAGGGTGTGGCTCTCAGGATCAGGAAGCCAGGACCCCGGAATGCAGTGAGCAGGCATTCTACCGTCCTCCCAGCCCGGGTGCCCAGCAGGGTTGGGATTTGCGGGCTTGGTGGGCCCTGCTGCCCGCCCAGGATCAGGGGTGGGGTCTTTGGGGCGCCCAAGGCAGATGGGGGCAATGTGATTTACAGTGGGGGGTGTGAGGGTGAGCGGAGGGGCAGGACTCGGGAGGGTGGGAGCCTGGGTGCACCCGGAGTGGCCAGTGTTGGCTTGGGGCCACGGGTGGCCGGGGGCGGGGGAGGGAAGGGAAGAGCTTTTTTATAAAACTAGACAGTCCTTGGGAGTTTCTAGCCCTGGCCTTTGTGGGCCGTCCCGCCCACTGCCCCTACGCAGCCCCTCCTCCTCCCTCCTCCTCCTCCTCCTCCTCCTCCTCCAGGCCTTGAACGCCCTTTGCCACCCTGTGAGTGGAGGAGCTGATCTCGCTGCTGGCAACCCGCCTGCTCAGCACTAGAATTGGGCCTGTCCTTCACTGGCTGGCACACAAAAGCTCATGCCAGGCAGGAACCAGCTCCGGCTCTTCTAGTTGGGGAAAACTGAACCCCCACCCCCCACCCCGGATGTTAGACAACCCCCCCTGTCCGGGTGTGCAGTTGGTGATTTGACTGCAATCCTGGCACCTGGGGGCCATCTCTGTCCCACTGGAGCCTGGGGACGGGGCAGGGGGAAGGGGGGAGGTAGAGGCCCACCCTCATGGGGCGGGGTGGGGATTGGCAGCAATCCACTGGCACCACTGGACAGGTTTGGTCTGCGGGTGGCAGGGGCTCTTGAAGGCTGTGGTCTGCATTGGGTGCACTGGCCAAGCCCTGGGGTGCAGCGGGGAGGGGTCCCGGGCAGTGTCTGGAGCCTGAGTCGGAGGCCACCGGTGGAGTGGGGCCACAGGAGTCCCAGGAGTGGCTGTGTGCCAGTGTCTGTTGCTCCTTCCTGTCACCCACTGAGCTGCTCAGCTCTGCCAGGTGCCACCGAGCAGATATCCTCCCAGGGATGAAGCTGTCCTTGGAGTGAGTCTGAGGTCCTGCCCAGAGCGAGTGGCCACAGCCTGGTCCTGAACTGAACCTAGGGCTGAGCTGAGTGCTCCGCCAAGGGGCGGGCCTCCCCAGGACTCCACCCCCCTTGGCACCCACCTGAGAGGACACATCCAAGGCACAGAGGGTTAGGGGCCTGGCCCTGGAACAAGAATTCGTCCCCCAGGGGCCTTGGAGGTGGGAGAGTTCGGACGTCCCTGCCTGCCCAGATGTAGGCCAGGTATGACCAGCACTTCAGAAATTCAGGGAGGAGAAGGAAGGCAGGGAGCAGAGGTCAACCCTGCACTCCAGAAATGCCTCTTCCCTTTGCAGTTCTTTCTCCGAATAAGCCTTTGGCTCTGACCGGTAGAGGCAGGAGCTGGCCCAGTGCTAAGGGTGTGGCCTGTGCACAGACCCGCCTGCCCTGCCTGGCCCTGGCTGCTCCCCTCCCCAGCTCTCAAGAGCCAAGTTCAGACCTCCAGTGTGGAGGGAGTAGCAGTCTTTGTAGACCATACATAGGTGATAGGGAGAGTGGAATCCACAGACTCAGGGGCTTGGGCTCTGAGGTTGCCACACAGAGCATGTGGAAATCTAGAATGCTCAGGCCCATTTGAATATCAGATGCACGACGCGTAATTATCTTTTAGTACACGTCTTGTCTTTTTCAGACGTGAAAATATACTACGAAAAAGAGGGGAAGGATCCAGCGTGTGGGTGAGACTGAAATTGAGCTGGGCGCCCTGGATTTAGTCCGGTAATGATTTCAGTCCCGAAGAGAGACCGTGGCCAGCCCCTGCCCACATGGACAATTCAGCCCAACCGTAGAGCAAAAGACACCGGAAGCTTGAGAACCACTAATGACTCAGAGCTTGCAGTCCGGTGGTACGGAAAGGTCGCTAATGACAGGGCCCTCACCTGTGATTTCACTGGGTGGGGGTGGGAGAGAGTTCTCTGGCCATCGGAGACCTTAGAGAAAGAGGTTGAGGGGAGGCCGGGATTGGGCCCTAGATTATTTTGGCCCACTTTAAGCTTCTGAACTGAGGCTCCTCCCCAACTCCAACCCACCCCCACACAGCAAAGTTCTAGAACATATCATGGAGATAGAAGAGATGTGGTTACAGTGCCCACATCCTTCACCAAAAACCTTTACCTTCCTGCGCTTGTTTCTTGGTCACCTTGAAAGCCAAAAGGCTTGGGCACTTCTGGAAACCCCCATGAGTAAACACACAGCTTGCTTCTGGGCCAGGGAACGAGAAACATCCCAGGTCAGAAGCAAAGGGCTTCCAAGGGCTTCCGGCCTGCAGCCTTTATTGGCTGAACCAAAGGAGGAGAGGAGCCCACCTTCCCCAGCCGTGTCCCTCTTGCGAGGCTCTACCTCAGTCTCCATCCTGCGACCTCAGCTTTACCCAGGATGGCTGGGAGTGACACTGGAACCGGAGACAGCTCGGGTGGGCACGGACCAGCAAGCCCCACACCAAGCCAGACTCTCTGCTGTCTAGAAGCCACTCAGTCTGTGATCGGGGCTGGGCGACTTCTCTTCGGAGGAGGTGAAGGCTGTGAAGAGGAAATTGTATTGAAGGCTGTTATTCTTGGATACAAGTGTCTACTTCCTGTAGCCACCAGTTCAGAAAGACACCCCTCCCCCAGCCCTCCGCAGCGCCTCTTCCCTTTGCAGTTAATGATCACAGTTCATATTGATTGCGTGCTTATTATATGCCCTGCACTTTAGGGGGATTATCTCACATTCATTCTTTCATCTCCGTGGGGAGGGGGGGTGTCTCTCACTGACCTTCTTTGACAGGTGGCAGTGTGAAGACTTGGTAGCTAATGTCCCCACGTTGAAGAGCTAGCGAGTGGGGGAAGAGACGGGAGACAGCTCGAACACACTCCCTCCCTGGGGCTGTGTGGGGCCTTCAGAGGCCGGCTCTGGCCCTGGCCTCTTCTGAATTTGCTCTAGATTGTTCCAGCATGGGGACCCGCCCTTCAGAGCTACCCTCCACCCCACCCCCCAGCTCACGGTCAGCCAGTTGCATGCACAGCCCTCACGCGTACACTTGCGTGCGTGTCCGGTCCTGCGTGTGCACGCGCGTGTGTGGCCAGGCTTTCCCGACCAAGCCCCTTCCTGAGCTGCAAGCTGTTACCCTCACCCACAAGCATGGATGCTCAGGGCTCCCCATGGGCCCCTCCACCCCTCCTACGTATGCTGGGCTCAGCTGCTGGGGGGGGGGGGGGAGGGTGGCTGCCCTGCCTGCCCTTGCTCTTACCCAGGTGATCCGTGAGCATTTCAGAAGACTCGGGGTAATTATGTATTATTGAATTTAGGGAAGGAGGCCTTACGGATAATCCTGGAAGAAGTTCCAGGAAGACGGAGGTTTCGATTCTCTGTTTAGCCGAGTGGTTTGTGGTGCTTCCTCCGGATGGCAGGGTCCCAGCTCTCCACCCAGTGCAGATCTAATGGATAGCCAGAGTGGTGAGACCCGGGCCCTGTGCACACCCAAACACAAACACGCACATATGCTCTTGATGGGGTTTTCATTTTCCATGTCTTTTTTTTTTCTTTTGGTGGTACTGGGGTTTGAACTCATGTTTACCAGGCAGGCACTGTATTGATCACGCTCTCTCTCTCTCTCTCTGTCTCTCTCTCTCATTCGCGAGTTTGGTCTTTATGCCGTGCAGCTGGAGCCTGACGCACGGTGAGAGCCCTCTCCCTGCGGGCTGTGCGTGTTTCTCTTCACCGATCGTCTGAAGTTTTTCAAATCTGGACTGGGACAGGAGGCTGCGTATGTGAAGGCTGTACCAAGTGCACGTGTGTGTCTGTGTGCACATGTGGTGTGTGTGCATGTGCCCGTGAGCACACACACATATTTAGGGCCACCTGTATTCTCCTCGCTGCCCCGAGCGAAGGGCCTGTGCAAAGCATGGTGAAGGTGAACACTGCCAACAACTGGGCCCCGGGGCCTTTGAACCTGCACCGGGTGTCTTGCGAACCTCCCTGGATTTCCTCCCTCTCCAGTTTCGGCTGAGAAATTCTTCACTAATTCCACCGTATCTGGTTTCTCATTGTTCTCTGCATTTCAGACGGCCCCTTGGGGTGGGCTTCGGAAAGGGGTGTTTAATGTTCTCAGTCTTCTAGGGGGACCCTGGCCCGACAGCCCCTCTCACGGCCAGGGCGGACAACCTCCCGAAGAGGCTGCCCTGCGGCCCCGTGTGAGCCTACGCACTGAGGAGAGGAGCAAAGGCCCACCCCACGGCGGGAGAGGGGGTTGGGGTCCCCCA